TCTTCAGGCATTTTGTCTCAAAAAGGCAAAAGGGAGAAATCCTTAACATTAGATAGTGTGACAGTAAAATTTCCACTTCAATCCATACACAGACTAAGCAACATTGAGCTCTGATCCCAAATTCACGAAAACATTTCAGCATCCACAACGGGTCATTTAAGTCCCTTTGACTTCAATGGGGCTTAAGGGCATACTTAAATGTTTTCCTGAGTGATAATCTTGGGAAGAGGGGAGGGAACAACACTGTTATTTAGTTCTCCCCTCCATCCTAGTGGTATCTGGATTTGTGATACAGTAGAACATAAGCCTAAGTAGACTTGCTTCTTTCTTTTAGGGAACAATTATTATTCAATTGCAATAAAATAACAAAAATCTTCTGATTTTGATTCATGATTCTGTATTTTGCAGTGTTCAGATGAAAATTAAGGAATATCCATTTTTCACTTACTGCTTCCACTTCTGCTGGGTCATACCAGACATTAATGTATGGATGCTGTAAGGCTTCATCCACTGATATCCGCTTGGCTGGGTCAATCACTAGCATCTTTGACAAAAGGTCCCTGGCTTGGCTGGCTAGAGCAATGAAACCAGAAGAATACGTCAGTACAAAAATTGCTCCATGCAGGGAAAAGCTTTTTTTTTTTTTTAAATAAAAAAGGATCAACCAACCCCTTCAAAAGTCTTTAAAATGGCCAATATTTTATTCCTTACCATTAGTCTTCATTTGTGTATACATTCACTATACCTAAATACAACAGTAATCCTGAAATATTCACAAAGGATTGAATTTATCTGTACAGAGAGCCTACACAAGGTGATTTGGAGATATTTGTAGCACACCAAGACCCGGGGGGGAGAGAGGGAATAGTCCAAAAGCCTAGTCTCATGAGATTTCCATCCCTGTTTCATAAAAGTGAAAGTTTAAAATAGTTTGGATAAAGATAAAAAAAAATCCATATTTTCTACATACTGCATCTATACAGTATCCATATGATATCTATATGGAACTTCTGGAGGTTTGACCAGCAAGGTACGTCTAACTGAAATACAAAATATAATAAAGGATTTTGTCATATGCAATATTTTTGCTGGGCTGTATCTAGTCACAGAATACTTTATGGTGCATTTAACTGCTTTTGGTCAGGGTAGGTCCAAGAGCAGGTCATATAGTCTGGGAAAAACTGGTAGAGAAAGGCAAAAACAATTTGTAGGATCAGTCCCTCAAGCTGATAAATGGCCAAAGGACCACCACTGCTGCCAGGAATCAGAATAATGTAGAGGTATGCCAGCCACATCTCATTTTGTCCTACTAATTCCTGTGCTAATGAAAGCAAACTCCTATACCAGGTATGAAATACTAGAGATCTAATCTGCATTGTCATAATCCTACTGGAAGCAGACCCATCAAATTTAGGGCCATTTCACAAGTTACGCTTAGGGCAACTTAACTGCACTTAAAATGCAAACTTTTATCTATACTCAAGCAGTAAAACATGTGCAAAGTGTACTCATGTCATAGAAAAGTTATGATTTTTCATGGGAAGAGCATCTTCAGGTCATATTAAGTAGTACATATTCAGCTATTGTTGTACTACTCCATGGAGATAATATAGTATTTGCAGTCCTCCTGGCACCAGCAGGATCCAGTGGCAGGAGCGGCACCCTCTCCCATGTGCCTCCCTTACACACTCCAGCAGCAGAGACCTTGCATGACAGGGGCAGGAACTCCAGGGCTTGTCAATGCTGGTCATATAATGGAGAGGTTGCAGGTGAGAGCATGGATGTGGCAATGCTTACTATGATCTCAGAAAAAACACCTGCTAAGTGTCCTGTGAGACAGGACCTTTAAAGTGAGAAGCTGCCAGTTGTGCACAGCACAGCGGCCATTCCAAAAACTGAAGTTCCAGTCTGTGGGCCACGGTTTGAGTTTTGCAAGATCTCTCCCACCGGGTTTCTGATTTTAGAAAACCAACACAACAGGGGTGTATTGGAGTTTTGCTTACCCAAACAATTAAGGTTCTCAGGCTTATGATAACATATATTCTCTTTGCAGGGCAATGCTTAATACTAAAAATACCCCCAAGCATATCCTTTTCAAATTAAGACACATTTTAGCTTCAAAGGAAATGGATTCTTCCTGTGAAACGTTACAATGGCATTTTTTTGCTATGCCTTACATCACCACAGATTGGCATCTACTAGATGCCAGATTACAGTAGGAAAGGAAAAGTGAAAAGATGCTTCAGCTAGCCTTAAACTGGCTGGTTTGGATTCCTAAAGCATCCTAAACACTGTAGCAGCATGGAGCTTTGCATAGGCTAATTTACTTGATACACACGGTTATGTGAGTTCTTTGCTGCTGTAGCTAGATGGATCCTCACATCCAAACTAGTTCAGATATTTCTACACTTCAGTGTGTCTTATTCCTACACACAGGGCATGCTTACATGTGCAAGTTGAGCCAGAGTAAACTAATTGAGCACAGTAATTTACACCGCAACAGACAGTACCAATGTCTAATTGGACTATCTGACGGCACTGTAAATTAGTCTATACTGGCCCAATTGCCATGCACATATAGATGGTGATGCTTTACTGGGCAGTAAATTAGTCTACTGTGCAGAAAGCACACATGTCAACCTACCCACAGTGTTGAAAACAATGGGCCATATCCTCATATGGTGTTAATATGACCATACATTATCCATATTACTTTGCTTAATTTCTGTGGAGCTATACTAATTTACAGATAGCCCACTAAGCTCCTTGAGATGGCTCACTAGACTTACTCTTATTTGTAAAGTCCATAAGGCTTAAGCCACCAGAATGCTTGTAGGAGAATTTAACTAAATGTGATTTTTTTTAAAGCTACCAAACTGCCTAATTCCCCTCCTCTAATTCCCTCCCACACTCCAAACACTGGTTTGCTATTTATAGTGTAGCATCTAATGGACAGAGGTGTAACAATTGTTAAATGATTTACTACTCCAAATACATGGCCAGTAACAATGAAATACAGAGATTTAGCCAAGAAAGAAAAATAACTTTCTATTTATTCTGACAGAGGGTTGAATAATCACCAGATGGACGTTTATGTTGATGCCTGATTGGGCAAACATCCAACAGCCTATCCTTAGTACTATATTGTGGTCAATATCAGGTACAAGCCAAAACCTCTAATCTGGGACCACAGTACACAGCCATCTGGTTTTCCAAACTAATCTGTTGTCAATCAAACTACACAATTATCTTTTTGTTATTCAAGCTCTTTTTTCTCTGTCAAATTCATTGCTATCTTTTAAAAAAGGAAGTTAACCTCATCAGTTGCTAGCAATATTATCATTCTTGTACTATAACAAAAGGTTCAGAAGCACCTTAACTAAGCATCTTAACTCTTCTACCATTCACAGTAGATCTATGACAGAGAATAAAAATGAAAAGAAATAAAATAGTAAATCAGGATCCTCCACTAAGCATCCAATACTTGTCACATCACACAGAGATGACTAAATACAGAGCCTTTTAAAGAGAGAGGAACAAAACAAGAAATGGTAGATCTTGATCTTAAAAACTGACATTCACTATTTTAAATATGTGTGTTTCCTTTATTCCAAAGATAATGAGTTAATACACAGTTAGACTATCATTTCCTATGCTGTAGTCCCAAATCCCATAAAATGCCATTATACAGTTTCATTGTCAAAGAAGAAAACAACTCAGTGCATCCAAAAGCATTTGTATAGACCTTTCACTTTGCTCCCTAAAAGCTGAGACAACAGTCTTGCTTTTGAAACAGTTGTTAACTGGAAGAGCATTTTGGGTAATGTAATGACAAGCAAATTGCAGGCAATTGAATAACACTGCATATCGCTGCAACAAGCAATCCGAGGAGCCTATGAAGATAAAACTGATACATGCTGAATGTTTGTAAACGGTCCAAAGCTGTGATTGGAAATCTTGTTTATATTAAAACATACATTAATCATTGTTTTTTATTGAAGGTCAATGTCCTGATCAAATTAATCGTGGCTTTGATGCATGATTAAAGTCATATCAGCGCACACCACTATATATATTGTAAAATTAAAATACCTACTCTCACTGAAATTAAGATAGCCTTCTGTTTCACATATGAAAACCCAGCTGCTACATTTTTCATTGTAACAAGACCACTTATGAGAGCTATTAAACTGCAGCTACATCAAAAACAATTTTGCCTGATACCTAAAAAATATATATAGTAATTTTTGTGGTCAGGTATTTGGATGCACTGATATTTACTTTTATAAAAAACCCAAAAAAACAAAACACAATTATGTCATGACCCAAAGGCATGATTTTGTGTGTGCTTCGGCACCAGAATTATCCCCGCCAAGTTGCAGCTTCATTGCACGGGAAAGTTTCCTGTTGCAGAGGAAAGCCCCGGTGCAGGGACGAGTTTCCCGCCTTTTCTGCAGCTTCTTTTGCAGAGTGCATTGCTCATGTTGCAAGAGGAATGCACGGTGCAAAAGAGTTCCCGCCACTGGTATGTAAATTCGTTCCCCGCTATTGGCTAATTTTAAATTATTCCCACGTGGTGGCTAACGATTGGCCTGTTAGCCGTATAAGAGGCTTGAGCAGGTTCCGCCCAAGCCGAAGAGGACTCCACATCCATCTTGTGGGGACTCTGAATACACGGCAGGGTAATAGAAACCCTGTGTGAGATTCAGAGGAGCGTGGCGACCTGATCCATCGCCCACCTCTTCCCGTCTTCGAGCGCAACTTTTATAAGACTTATCTACGATTCTGATTTTGGTGGCTCGTTCACCCAGAGCATCCGGAGCTCTGTTCCATGGAGCCTAGCAACCTCCACGAGACCGTCTGTGTTGTCTGTCTGTAACCGCAACTCAAGCAAGTTTTCCAGCCTACATCACTGCCATCTCGGTGTAAGTAAACAATCTTTAAAACTACCGCTAAGCGTTTGTGCCTAATTCCAGCTCGACGGCCTTCCCTCTCCGACCCGGCATGCCCGGGCTGCTGGCCACAGCCCGCATGCAGCACAGAAAAGGGCTCGGGTCGCTCCCGGCCCGCACAAATTAATAGGGTTCTGAGATCTTCAAAGGAAACTCCTTGGGCTCCCTTATATCAAAAAAATAATAATAAGGATCTAGAACCTCCCCAAATCCCTTATAATAGTAGCCAAGGATCCATTGTACAATATGAGTGGACACGAATCTGACATATTAATCAGTGACAAAATATGTTCCCTAGAGCCCTTAATGCCCCAGCACCATGTTCACCATCACACCTAGAAATGACATCTTGCTATATAAAACCCACACAAGTGTCTAGATCATCCTAGACCCTGAATCTTATTTGCTAACTCATCCCCCAAAGGTAATTTTCATGTAGATATTAATTGCTAAAATGTTTGCCCTATTTTTTTCTTTTGTTCAAGCTTTTTTTTTAACTTGCCTCTTGTGAAAGAGAGCAGTTTTCAGTAAATCATGAGGAGAGGCTAACTTTGTACATCCAAAGGGCATATTTGTTTTCCTTCTGCTATCACTTTTCCTCAAATCAATGGCATTTCCTTTATAATGGAATATTTTTTACCCTCAGTAGCTAAGCACCAACCAAAAGTTATATAAAATATAGAAAACATATGTTTTAAATGGTATTAAAAGCTGATTCAGCTCAGTTAGAAAAAAATGTGTTCTTCCCTATACTCCATGCTCCATCCTTGAACATACCTTTAAGTTTGTTGTGTTCTGAGTCCGCTGGGAACAGAGAATCTGGGAAAAGTTTGGGGAAAGTAAGACCAGCATACTTAGGTCGATTCTCAACATAGTTCCGTACTGTGGGCTGTAGCTTCTTCATGAATTCCGGACACGGTGTTCCCAGCTGTTCAATTACCTTATTCCACTGGTCAATATCTGAGTAGAGGTAGTTAAGGAAAAAAGAATCCGAAGTCTACTAACTTTTTTGTTTGGTTGGTTTCTGGGAACCCTTAAGGTGCTTAATTCCCCCCCAAGATACTTCTCAGTGCCTTGGTTCAGCATTATGCCTTGAAATTTAGTAAGACCTTTACAGCATCAACTTTGCTTATGTGGAAAAACATTGTACATAGGTGACATCTCCAGATATAGAATCCCTGGTGGTTATTGATGATAATTCTCTTTTGCTTTTAAATCCCAGCTCAATGGCTAATACTGCCCCAGTTCACATCCATGTAAATCATGGACCAAACAATGAAGAATAGATTTTTTCAGTTACTTACTTTATTTAAAGTGGACATAACCATCAAAACATCACCATACAAATGGAAGCTTAGTGGACCACAATGGTAGGAAAAGAGTTTTGCGTAGGACAGGCAATACCCTAAGCTTTTCTTTTTGTTACAAGAGATCAAATATTTTTAAGGTCAGTCTGAGGGAGAAAAAACATATTATTTGGAGGAGTGGACATATTTGCAAGAAGTTCTTGGAAGTGAATCATTAACTAAACTGTTGCATATTGTATCTTTACTGTCCCTAGTAATTTATCCATGTCTACTTTTACTGAAGCTACCATCACACCTATTTAGCAAAAGATTGTTCAGCATTTGGCCTAACAAGTATTTCTTACAGAGGAAAGATGTGCCAGACAGACACAGATGTTTTTCTTTCATTTCTTAATGTCATGCATGATGAAGTTAAGCTTAAACACTACTTTGCTACAATGTGTAAGTAACAAGAAACAATTGATGATAAAAGCCAGTTTCTACATGCTTTCATTCTCAACCAAGAAACACTTTACCATTAGGGATTTGATTGGGCTACTCTTAGTTTTCTTGGAATAATGTCATAGATCCTGGATGATTTGTGGCCCTTCCAGTCATGTTCAGAACATGTCTTACTGTGTCAGGGGGAAAAAAAAAGAAAAAATGTTAATTCAAGAAGATGGTTAGAAACCAGTAAGCATCTCCTTATTACTGCATTCATCACATTAATAATTCAAAAAATGAAACAATATATGAACACACACAGTGATGGACACATTGCTAAGAGACTGTCACATGCTTGTAGCTAAGGGTGCTTCATGACAATATATTAGAAAAAAATAGTTTAATATGTCACTCGTTAAGAAGTGCAATATGAAGTTATCCTCATTTTCACTGCTGTGAATTATTCATTGACATCAATTCCCAATCTGTGTAAGTGCTTTCCAAACACTCAGGGCACTGACAGAAGTGATATTTGTTGTGCAACTGGCCCCCTGAAAGTGCTCTACATCTGTGTCCTGACAGAAGAGCACAGCTACAGAGCATTTTAAAAGTGCTTGATCATGCAACACGTTAACCCCTATCTAATGAGGGTTCAGATGAAGGTGCTCCAAAATGGAGCACCTTCATTATCTTCTGTTAGTTCCTGTGGCAATCAGGGCTGAGCTGATGCAGCCCAGCCCCACTGTCAGTGCTGTCTGCAGGATGGGAAGGGGGAGAAGGGAGGGGAGTGAGTTCAGGGCCGGGGTTTGTCAGCCAGAGCTGGAAGGGTGGGGGGCAGGATTGGAGCCCCTCCACCTCACAGCCCCCCCCCCCCCCCAACACACACACACACACAACAGCTCTCTCCCCTCCAGCTCAAGTTGGGCAAACCCCAGCCCAGAGCTCCCCCCTCCCTCCACTTATCCCTATCCAATCCTGCAGACAAACTAGATCTGGGAGGGGAGGAGAGCGCTAGAGGAGAAAGGCTGTAGGCAGGCAGCCTCTGTCTGCTGGATTGGCTTCAAATTGAATTCCCCATTCCCTTCAACCAAACATTAAACGTCTACTGGGTTGGGGAGTGGGGGAGAGAGTCACTTGAGCTCATGGCGCTTTCTGTGAAGTGCCATGAGTTACAGCAGGGAGCTGCATGTCTGTAGTTCCCTCAAGAAAAGTGGTCCTTGGTCTGATGAGCTCACAATCTAGAACAGATAGAGAGGCCAGGGAAAAGGAGCTCATAGAAAAATTATTAAAGACCATGAAAAAAAGTTCAGTTTGTGGTCAATTTTAGAATTTTCTAAGGTATTCCAATTTCAAACAAAACTGAAAATTTCAGAAATGTTCAATAAATTGTAGGATAAAATAAAACTAAATTTGCAGTCAATCAAGACATCAAGATTTCAATAAAATCAAAACTTTCGGTTTAGATTTAGAGCTTTTTCAAAAAGCTTTTTCTAATTAAAAAAAAAAAAACCTCCTGGGAAATTTTAAAATCAAAAGTCATTTCAAACTAAAAAAGTGAACCACTTTTGTTTTGGAAAATGTCAAAACTGAAGAATTTTCATGGATTTGATTTTCTTATTCAAAATGAAAAAATAGTAGTATCAGCATTGTGAAAAACATTGCCCATGTCTACAATTTATATAGATATTCTATTCAACTGGCTCCTGTAATTAAGTATGGCAGCCTTGTATGGACAGAGAGGATGAAAGCAAAGAAAAATAAGTAAGGCAAGCAGAGTTACATAGAGCTTTGAAGATGATTGCAAGGTGTTTAAACTGATTTGATAGCAGGTAAAAAGCCAGAGAAGGTATTATGAAAGAGAAGCTACATGATTAAATTGATGAGTAAGAGAGAGGAGTTTAGTTATGGCTTCATATATGAACTGACAGGGTCAGTATATGTTTTGGGGAAGCCAGAAAGGATTGATAGTAACACAGAAGGGGGAAACAGAGAATGATTGGAAGGGAAGTTCTGTTTGGCACATGTTCAGTCAAAGCTGACAAGAAGACATCTGAGAGGAGATAGGAGGGAGAGACAGGCTGAGATGAAGGACTGAAAGAGTTATTTCCATAGCTGAAAGAGAACTCTTAAAGTCATCAACACAGAGATGATGGCAAAAGCAATATGGGTTGATAAGATCATCCCTAAGAAATATAAGGTTAGAGGAGGAAAGGACCCAGGACAAAGCCCCAGGGAGTTGCCACAGACAGCAGGATAAGGGAGTATAGGAAACTTCTTGTCATCTCATTAGTGGTGTCTGTATATTTTGACTTCCAGCATGGCTCCCATTTTTATGGAAAGTCACTGCTCTCATTTATGTCACTATGGAATCACATCCACCACAGAATCCAAGAATACTATCTGGAAAACTTCTGAGAAACTTTGGGGCAGGAGAGGTCTCCTAAATGTACCACTTCAATGTCAAAAGCATCAACAATCCAAAAATTTGTATAATTTTCAAGATGAAACATCACAATGCTCTGCATTCCCTTTATATTTTTTCATGTCTTTTGCAAGTTCAAAAGGCCTTCTTACCTGCCTTGCTTTTTTTTCAGTTGTTTGATTTGAATGGTTCATTTATCACTGGGTGTATCTACATGAGATGCTTCTGCACAGTTGTTACTGTGCATTTACTTAGTACTTGTATTAGCAAGTTCTAAATAAATGTGCAGTAACAAGAGTTACTGCATCATCTAGTAATTTGCATCAGCAAATACTTTTTAGGTGACTCTACTGCGCAGTAATGTATAAGCACTGTCTGTGCTGTGACGTGTTACTGCACAATATTTTTTGGCTACTGCACAGTCAGCATCTCGTGTACATATGCCCTTTGTTTCCTTACATACTTTTGACTAATCCTCGGCAAACACTACACAAAAAAATACTGTTTACATAATTTGCTTTAATAGTATTCAATAACTTCCTGTCTTTGTTTCCTATGAATATTCAGATGACGAACATTTTGTTCATAGTAATTTTTGTGGAAAGAGAAAGTATTACTTTCTCTACATGAAAGTATTACATTGAGAAATCAGAACCAAATCTCTATCTGCATAGATATTCATATTCATCATCTAGAACGCTATCTACAGGTGTAAGATTTTAATATTTTATTCAAAACTCAGAGACAGCAAATTTCAAAATCTGAAACTCTCACAGGAGAGAAAAACTATATTTTGCCCCATTCTAATCATTGCACCTGAGGCCATATGCAGTACTTTGGACTCGTGATAGTCCAGAAGGTATACCAGGAGGCATTGCTATCTTGTGGTGAAAATGGGAGATTAGGGGACAAAGCACTTGAGGTTCCATCCTGTTTCTGTCACAGACTTGCCGTAAATTTGAGTAATTCACTGAACATGTCCATGCTGCAATCTTCCTTTCTAGAAAATGGCTAGAAAAACTGCGTGAGGTTTAAACTGGGGCTTAATTATTGTTTAAAAAAACCTTACCTCTATAACTGTAAAGAGTTTTAAGTGCTAAGTACCTAATACTGTACATAATAAAAATCAGTTTCTTGTAATATCTAACATATCTATCACACTATAATGATTAGGAATTTCTTCTATAAAAGATCATGATACCAATTCAACAATGAGGCATGCAAATGACATCAAGTACTATACTGCTAAGTGACTTAAATTTCTTGTTTTCCTATGGAAATCCTTAAAAAGGCTGATTATACACCATGGAATGATCCTTACAAATGGTCACATTTGAGGATAGGGTCTTTCTGTTTCTTTTTCTTCTTCATGACTAACGATATTTTTCTGAAATAAATTCTTTTTTCCCCTTAGATTTAATCTGTTTCCAGGTATTTTTCAAGTGAATGTTTGATTTTTCAATATCTTGAAAACATTTCTCCAATGTCAAATATATGACAACATGCAATAACATCTTGGTCCAATTATGGCCATACAGAATCATCACATTTCTGTGATTTGTTTTGCAGAATTACTGAAACAAATTCATTCCTGGTGAACTTCATGGCGTAACTCCATAGGCATCAATGGTTCTACACCAGGGACAAATTTCTCGATGGATACACATTTCCATCATATCACGATGGAATCACGATTTCTGTGGTGGGTTCCCCGCGGGCAGCCGTGTCGCCACAGAAATCACGATTTCTTAACCAATTTCTCTTTTTTCTTAGTCCTGAGAACTACTTGTAACAGATTTCAAATTTCT